CAAAAAGGGAAGGACCTGTTCTGACTGTGGGGGTACCCTGGGGTCCATCCAGAAGGAAGATATATTCTCTATCTTTCTGTCTGTCTCTCTCTGTTTTTCTCTGTGTCTCTGTCTCTCTCTGTCTCTGTCCCTCTTTCTCTTTCTCTCTTGGTCTTTCTGTCTCTCTGTCTCCCTCCCTCCCTCCCTCCATCCATCCCTCCCTTCCTTCATCCCTCCCTTCCTCCTGGCTGCTGTGATGTTAGCTGCTCTGCTCTGCTATACCTTTCCCGCCACGATGGACCCCTGAGACCACAGGTCACAATAAATCTTAACTCCTTTAAACTGTTCTCTTAAAGGGACAAAAGTCTAAACACTAAGAGATACAAATTCTTGTGGAGGTTTTCTACGTTAGCATGAACTAATACAAAGTCAGATTTCTGGAGAAAAGGCAGTTAGACATATTGAATAAACAGATAACATGAAGATCCTTTCCAAAGTTGGAGGTCCCCCCCACCGTTGTTTGTACTTTTTGATCAGTTAATCCTTTTGGGTAGTACAGATCTGGCATATTTTCCTCCACTTATTCTCCAAAATAAATTCGAAATATTGCTGGTGTCATTTTCAGCACCTCATTTAGAGTTTGACCTTCCCAGATGGTGTTTTCTTATCTACTTATTTCCTTCCTTAGACTCTTTGCTTGACCAAGTTTGACGGGTGCACTTTGGTATGGGGACACTGAAGGCACAGCATAGCAGTGCACATACTTTAGAAAGCAAAATTCAGGGAAGATTGTGTGAAATACAGAAAATGATGATGTGTCCTGGTTATGTAACTCAAGTTATGTAATTTAATCCCAGGGTATCTCCCAGGGCCTTGCACATCACTTCCTCTACTAATATGTGTTCTGACAGTTTTTTTCAGCACAGGGGAAAAAATACATCCAAAGAGTAGGGAAAATATCTTTACTTGAAAATGGAAAACAGAAGGCTAAGAGTATTGGCAGTTAATACAGTCATCTGTGAAGGGAAGTTACCAGGTCAAATGGCTATGACTCAGATTTTGGACAAAATAAAATAGTAAGCCTTTTTTTTTCTTAGGCTTAACTATTTCCCTCTCTTTTTTTAAACTGTTCAGATGTTTTTCCAGAACCCCAATTTTGATTCCTTTTCTCATTCATTTTGACTCCTTCCTCATGATGTTACATGATATTTTTTAGATTATTTATTGTTTTATGTGTAAATATGTGCGCCAGAGCAAGTTGATGTGTTCCACATGCATTCAGGGGCCTGTGGAGGGAAAAAAGAGTATCAGATCCCCTCAAACTAGAGTTATGGACAGTTGTTAGCTGCCGTGTGGGTGCTGGGAACTGAACCCAGGTCCTCTGCAAGAGCAGCCTGTGCTCTTAACTGCTGAGACATTTCTCCAGCCCTGCATTTTAAGCTTTTAAAAGTATATTTATATTTATTATTCTTATTATTATTAATAATATGTGTATATGATGTGAGTGTATGTATGTGCAACAGTGTGCATGGTGAGTCAGAAGACAATTCATGGGAATTTGTTCTCCCCTTCTACTATTTTGTTAATGATGAAATTTGCTTTTCATAGCACGGCAAACATGGGAATAAGGATATCGTTGTTTGTTTTGTGGTGCTGAGGATCTGACCCAGGGACTCACACATGCTCGCCAAGTGCTCTTCCACTGCACTGTGCCCCACCATCTTATAATTGAGGAGCATAGTTTATATGCAGTATTTCTTTGGACTTTCAGACAAGAAAAATGGGCAGTATTATGTAGTAGCCAGTGTTTGATGTATTACAAAGATTGGTCTGTCATGTTATTTTCCTAAAAGTTTTCTTTTCCTTTTTAGAAATTAATGCCTCAAATTAAGAGTAAATGCCTGTTTTACACATTTTAAATTGACATGATATTAATTTTCTAAAAATGATAATTCTGTCTTCAGGCCATTGTTGCTGTCTGGTTTGAACTTGAGGCTTTGGATTCCCAGACCTTTGTTTTGCCGATCAGACAGCTGAGGCCCAGGTGTCTTTAGCAGTTTGTTTAAGTTCATGGGGCCAGAATCAGAAGCAAAACTAAAATGCAGGTTTCCTAATTCTTGTTTTCCTTCACAAGTAGTTTCTGCTTTCCCTATTTTTGTTTTATGTGATATAGTATTATTTTCTTCTTAAAACATGCCTAATAATATAATGGTGAAAAACGACATTTAATTTTGGAATGTTTTTGATGAAGAGGGTTTGGTGCAATCTAGCAAGGCATGTTGTGAAATTGCCTTTTATGAAATGAGCCTTTAGAATCACACTGTATCTTAAACTGTCCTGGAGGGAGGGAGACAGGAACTAGAATGTGGTGTTTGGCAGGACTCAGCAGAATCCTCAACACTTTGTTAGTTACTGTGCTGGCAGGCCCCATCCTGAGCTTGTTTTCCATTGTCCTGTGGGCTGAGGATGTCACATCTGCACAATAAAGGCATTTATTTTGAGAGATTAAGCCACTGGCTGAAGATCAGTGGTATTGTTGTATAGCTGATCTCAGTGTGGTCAGGCTCTTTGAGAGACTGCTGCTTTCTGGCTACTCTGGACATACAAGGGAGATAAACAGATTTAGATGGATATGACAGCATCACTTCCTGCCTTGTTTTAAGTGGGCTTTAGAAATTCAAGCTTATGCCTTGGAAAGGGACTGGGTGACTCCTTCTAGAACTGTAATGTGCAAATAGAAAGTTATGTATTAGTTTCATTTCCTTAAGAGCCCTGTGACGGGGTTGGGGATTTAGCTCAGTTGGGTTCAGTTCTCACTGCCAGGTAGGAAAAAAAGGGCTATGTGACTGTTTTGTACCATGTAGTAATTTGTAGTAGTTATGTTCCTCATAAGGTTCTTGAAAATTGTTTCATTTTTAAAATATGAGAACTTATGGAGATTGTCATTTAATGGTATCTTAAGGTAAATATTCCAACACAGTTAATAATCCCTTTTATAACTTATTTGGGGTAACTATAGATTTTACAAATGAGTATTACCTAAAGGTACCTTAAAAATCATGTTTTTTTCCAAAGAGAAATTAGGTATGTTAAAACTTTTTTTTTTAAAAAATGGTATAATCTGTGACACCAATTATTTAACTGTTATTTCTTGGGAATTAGGGAATTAAAATAAGATGCCAGTTTGTAAAGATGGAAAGTTGGTTAAAGGTAGTTTACTCCTGCCTTCAGTGGCCATTGTCTGAAGTTACTTAGGGATACCACCCTTGAACCTAAGTTTTGTTCTATGTCAGTTGATAATGATGTAAATGTATTTTTGAATATTCAAAGACCCTTTCACTTAGGTAAAATGTTCCCAAGCACTGAGCACAAAAATCATAAATTTCATATGGCATTCCTAAGGGAATTTTTTCATCAGTCAAAAAAATTACTTTGTGTTTACTAATAAATTTTTTGTAAATAAGAGTTAGGAATATAGCTCAGTGATAGATTGCTTGCCTAAGGTCCTGTGTTTCATTCCTAAACCACAAACAAAACAAAATAAAAGACAGGTTACTCTGTGTGTGTGTGTGTGTGTGTGTGTGTGTGTGTGTGTGTGTACTAAGATATTATAGTTTAATTGCTTTCAAACTACTTTTTTTTTTTGGAGTGAAAGACTCAGTGTTAAAGGTTTGTTTCCAGGTGTCATCAGGATTTCTTACCCATATAATCAGATGGTTTTGATCACAGTCCTATCTTTTAGTGACTTTGTGCTATGTGTTCACTTGACATTTTGGAAATACAATGACATTAGATTTTACTAAAAACTTGAGGAGTTTACTCCAGAGAATGACAAATGTACAGGCATTGTGCCATGGGTAAAGGAGGTGGGATTCTGGTTCTTGTGTCTTCCAGACATTTTCTCTGGTTTCTTTCATGTGAACAGCCCAAAGTAATACAGCCCAGAACTGCTAAAAGGTGGCAAAAAAAAAGGAACATGTCCACTACTGTGGTCCAACCATCTTGATGGCCTGACTTATTTGTCTGTAGCATAAACCTTGTAGTGGGGTAATAGTTACAGATGGTATTTCTACTGAAGCAAGCAGGCCAGACAAGGCTTTCAGAGAAACTTTGGTGGTTTAAGCTCTCAAATCACAGGGGCAGAATGCTAATTTTATGGTAGTGCTATTTAGATGTTCCACCACAAAGTTTATGTTGTGAGGAAGGTTTAAGTAGGGTCCTTCTAACATAGCATATATGCTTTAAAAAATTTTATATCCTTTAAAATAATTAAGGGTTCACAAGAAACTATAGAAATAGTTCTTAAAGGGGCTGAGAAATGGCTCAGTGTGAAGAACACTGGCTGCTCTTCCAGAGGACCCAGTTCATGTCTCCTACAACCATCTGTAACTCCAGTTCTAGGGGATCTGATAGCTTCTTCTGACCTCTACAGGCACTGCACGACAGAGGCACACTTTTTCACATTTAGGCAAAGCACTCACACACAATCAATCAATCAATCAATCAATCAATCAATCAATAAATAAATAAATAAATAATAAAATTTTCGGAACTAATAGTACATAGTTTCATGTAATGTTTGCCCAGCTTACACTGATGACTTTTAAAGATATTTGCACCTGTACCTCTTGACCTGCTGCATGCTAAATGAAGATGATCTGGGAGTAAAAACGCAGCTCACATGTGAAGGTGGCTCTGGTTAAATCAAGGATCATTTAATAAAGTCAGAATATTATTTGTGTAAACCCATACAGCAATCCATGATTAAACATTTAAACATTAAACATTAAATCCATGTGCTAAACATTTGCTAATTCTTACCATTACTATTCTGAAAATCAGATTTTTTAAATTTAAATTTCAATTTAATTATTAAATAATGAGAGACTAAAACTGAGAAATAGATATACGAATGAATGCCCTGTGAGGTATGTTTTCTGTTAACAACCTTGTTGTGTTTAAGAATGTTAAGGGTGATTCTGAATTCCAGGACCCAAAGATTGCTTTTATTTTCTATGTAGGTTCGAAAACATGTAAATGATCTCTATGAAGACTTACGGGATGGGCACAACTTAATCTCCCTTTTAGAGGTTCTTTCTGGAGATACCTTGGTAAGTTTTAAGTTTCCTAATTTATTTTGATGATCCTGTACACATAGGACCAAGGTGTTTTCTTCAGAAAAAGAGTTTTAGTTAGATGCTCAAACATTCTCAGGCGTTACGTAATGTGAATGTGAGTGACTGAAGATTTCTTTGCTTATATAGCAAGTTCTATAATTAAAATACTATTTACTTCCTTGCTTTTTTTACCTTTGGGATTTTTCTCTCTCTCTTTTTTTTTTTTTTTGCTTAAAACTCTCTCTCTTTTTTTTTTTTTTGCTTAAAAGAAGTTGGATGCATCATATAACCACACATTAAAAGACAAATAGCAAGGAAATCAGCATCGCTTCCTGAAAAGCGGTCTAACCCCCTCCACAGGTGTCATTTCCCTCTGTGTGAGCATATTTCCTTCTTGGTTACCTGTTTTCCCTCATGTTCCGTTCATGCTCTTCTTTCATTTCCGGTCTGTCTTGTGTCCTTGCTGTCCTGTCTTCTGTCTGTTATGTTCATTAGCCAAGGGAGCGAGATTTTTTGAAGACCTTACGGTTGGTGAGTGCAACAGCAGCATGCGAGTGTGAGCAGCATGAGGATGTGGAGGATGAGGACAAGGGGGTAGGTGTCGCCCCCCCTAACTCACTAACCTGCTGGCCAGTGTGCACAGTGCTAACTCATAGACTGGTAACTCATGGTTCTGGCCCCTCTAGAGAAAAAATGGAAAGACCCAAGCCAGAGTGAGGTGGATGTGTGTGTTCAAGAAAAGCTGACACAGGAAATATTTTCTCTTTATTTATCTTCAGAGCTAAAATGATGGGCATATTTATACATTCCTGTGCCCTCTGTGGTAATGACACGTTTGCTTAAATTATGTTATGCCATCTTTGAATCTTACATATGCTATATATAAATTTGGAGCTCATAACTAGTATACTAATTTATGAAAATTCACTCCATTCTGGAATTGGAATTCAAACATGACAACTATTGCTTTTTTTGCAAAGGACTTACAGAATTTTTATTTACTATTCAAGTTTCCTTTAACTCATACCGATTGGCAGTAGATAGATATTCTTTACCTGTTGATATGGCTTATGGTATTTAGAATGGAGGAAAATTTTAAATCCAATAGAATTCACAGAGTGCTTCAATTGACACTTAGTTGACGCCAGTCACCCACCTTTGCATGACTGATGAGTTTCTTATGTCAGCTGCATCCCAGGTGCCTCCTCATTTCTTTGGAAATTGTGCTTTTGTAGGATCCAGTGAGTGAATTTACCAATATCTTTCCTAATTATTATACAGAAGTTACTTTTCCCTTCTGTGGTCTACTTTCTTTCATTGTGGCCCCTGGGCGTCAACAGCCTACTCACATTTAAGAGGCTGCAGTGTCAGTTTTCTTTTGTCTTTTTTCTTTTGGAATATTCCATGGGGTAATTTCAGCCCCATTCTTTGTGTTTTTCTTAGGCATTTCTCAGCTGTTTTCTTTTTTCATTCTACTAAGTTGTACCATTTCTTACAGGAGATGGCATTAAGGAAAGGAACTGTGGTTTGTTACTTTTCCTGAGACTGAGAATCGCATCAGTCCTTATCCACAGACAGTACAAAGTGTAGAGTCCTTTCTGCCTAGTATAAAGCCCAATTTTTTGCAAAAGGTGAAATAAAGAGGAAATGTATTATGTAGTGTTAATTTCTTTCTCTCTTCCTCTGTCATGGCTAAGTAAACCTCTGTCTTTCTCCTTGGTGTTTTTTTTTTTTTTTTTTTTTTTTTTTCATACAAATCATACATACAATTAGAAAAATACCTCAGTCTAATAGTGAATATTTAGAAGGTAAAATGAAGAATTATGGCTAATTATTTTTGTACATCCATAGCTAAATACCTGTTGACCAGAATTGTTCTGTTAGTCAATACAATAAAAGTCTTGCATGATCTATGGTTTTCTGTTTGTTTCAATAAAACATTTGGAATAAAACAAATGTTTGAAATGTATTCAGAAAAATTCCCTAGTAATTTAAACTCAGTCCTAGATAATACAGAGAAATTTAAAACTTAAGTATATGTATGGGCTTACCTTGAAAATAGTTTAAAAATATTAAGATGAGCAGTCTGTTTAAATTAGCATGATCAGTGGTGTCATAAACTATAGTGTTTTTATACCTGCATTTCTCTACCCTTAGCCCAGAGAAAAAGGTCGGATGCGCTTTCACAGACTGCAGAATGTACAAATTGCACTTGACTATTTGAAAAGACGCCAGGTATGATGCTTTTACACTCTACCTTCATAAATGTAAGTGATTAAATAAATGCACATAGAAATATGTCACAGAATGAAAAGGATAAATTTGACTCTGAACTAAAATAATTACCATGCACTATGGTGAGGCAAATATTTAATAATGTTTTCAAACATTTGTTCCCAAGAAAAGGAAGTTAATATTAAGTGCAAACTCAGAGGAGTGAAAAGTGACTATGTTTCCTTTTGAATAAGAAAAACTGATCTTCCTGTATGGAATCGGAATGAATTTGCCTAACCAATTAGAGGCATTTTAGTAGGAACAGAATAGTTGGGATGCCTATGCATGGGTCCTGGTGGAGCAGAAGCAACACTTTAGTTTTTAATACTTATAAACAAAAATATTTTCATATTGTACATCATAGTTTCTAAGACACTGTAAGCAGTTTTTGTACTTAATAGTGATACCACAATATTTTATTTTGTTTTTTAGTCTGTTTTATGCTATCACAGGATAACTAATACTGTATAAGTCATAAAGAACAGAAACATTCCTTTCAGCTCTGGAGGCTAGAAGTTCAAGATCTAGCACAGTATGTGCTGAGGGTCAGTGTTCTCACATAGCAGAAGTAACAAGGAACAGAAGGGTGAACACTGCCTCCCTGACTTGACCCCTTAAATAAGGAAATACTGTGTTCAACATAGTGTCATATACTTCTTGGTATTTAAATCATCATGCTTAATTCTTTTATATAGGAAATAAATATTAGCAATCACCATACATTTATTTACCTGAATATAGAGTTAGCAGTTGATAAGGTTTGATTTTGAGTATTACATTACTCTTTAATATTTGAGCGGCTTCTAAATGCTCAGTGACTTAATATTTATGATAGAAAATATTGCTGATTGAAAAATTCTTTGTGATAGATGTATGGGTTAATTTTTAAAAAATATTTATTATTATTATTTTTATGTGTATGAGTTATTGCCTGCATGTGTGTAAGTGCACCTGTGCTGTGCAATGTTTGCAGAGGTCAGAAGAAGGTATCAGATTCCTTGGAACTGGAGTTACGGATGGTTGTTAGCCACCATGTGGGTGCCCGGGAATCGAACCCAGGCCCTTTGTAAGAACAGTCAGTGCTCTGAACTGTTGAATCATCTTTCCAGCCCCTTGTTAAAATTGTTTTATGGTTCAGAATAGTTTTCTGCTTAATTTTAAAGGGAAAATACAGGTTTCGAAAGGCAAAATTATTTCTGATAACACAATTATATCTAATAATGTCACAAATATTTAGGCTTCTTACTTGAGTTTCATTTTTGACAAGTGGGTGCTTTCTGTAATTGCTATAGATAATATCCAATTTTTATCCAGTAATATCCAGTTTTGCTTTGCGATCATCCTGAAATTTTCTGTCTAAGACTATTGAACATAAAGATAAAACAGCATATTGGTGATCTTTGTGTTCTTTACATTTCTTAAATTTTCTGTTGTAGATAAATAGAATTGTGTACTAGTTTATAAGAAACTGTTTTATCTCTTTATATAAAACAGGTGAAATTAGTGAATATTAGAAATGATGACATAACAGATGGGAATCCTAAATTGACTTTAGGGTTAATATGGACAATAATTTTGCACTTTCAGGTAAGTCCAATTTTTTCATTGCCATTTTAAGTCTCTTATGGGTAATTTTCAGGTAGTTGATATGAAGGGTGTTGTATATCCTCTTACTGAGTATATTTCAGGCTTCTTTATTAAACAGTATGTCTGTTTTTGTTCCTAGTAGCATTTTGTTTGTGAGTCTGGTATCTTATTTCCTATTCTCCACAAGCTTGTATATTTAGTTTTACAGAAATTATCTTTTAAAAAGACATTCTCTTGAAATCTTAGAGTTTGGAGATGGAGATTTCATCTTCTTAAATGCATACATGTTTCTTTCGTGTTTTGGACAGTATTACTTGTAGATATGAAAGGACTGTCTAATTGAATCCTTATTAGGAATGTCATCCATATTGTAAATAAACTGATTTCCCTTTGATAGACACTAGGTGGCAGTAGATCCATCCTGGCGCTATCTGACTTAGAAAAAAGTACTGTGTAGAGAGAGCTGTGCTTTATCTAGATTTGAGGATGGTGATGCATCTTGACAAAAATCCTCTGTATTTGATTTAAAGTGACTCCCTTTGTAACTTGTTTTACTTTGCTAACTGCTGGTATTCTCCCAAAACTTTACCAGTCCTTGTGATTGAGTATCATGCAGTTAAATCTTAAAGGAAGACAAGCAGCTTGCCAGCTTCAGAAAGGAGTTGGGGTTATTAATTAATCTTAAAGAAAAAAAGTGGCAAACATTTGTTGAGTAATAGTGGAAGATAAATTATTTCATTTGAGAACAGGCTAGATCTAAAGCTATCCTGCATAGTAGGTAAAGGATCTTGCTGCCAAACCCAATGACCCGAATTCAGTCCCCAGAGCTCACATGGTAGAAGGAGAGAACAGACTCCTGCAAGTTGTCCTCTGCCCTCCACTAGTATGCATGTCCCCTCACTACATAGACTTCTTAAAAATCTATCAATTCTATATAAAATAGGTGGAAGTGAACTGGTCATGGGGGATAAGTCAAGAAATGGAAGTGATTTCAGAGTGGAGGGATACAGGCCAGGTCTCAGGTAGGGATGGAAAACTGAAGCAAGAGATGACATTCTGAAAAACAAAGGAAGGAACTCGACCACAGGGCTAGAGGATAGGGCAGAGGACTTCGTTAAAGATGATTAAACATCGTGAGATCTGGAGGAAAACTGACCTTCTGGATGGGTTTGAAGGGTTGGTAGTTTGCTCTGTACAGAGCAGACCTGAGAAGTCAAAGGTACAGGGAGTTATCAGCATATAAGTGGTTATTCATCTGTTAGAGAGAAAGGCTTTTCAGAGGACCTAGGAGAAACATAGGCATGGAGAGGAATGGAGAGGTAATGATCCTGGGAGGCTCATGATGGCAGGCGCAGGACATGGTCCTGCTGAGGAAACAGAAGAAGAACATTCCGAGATGGATAAAGCAACAGGAAAATGAGTTGTTGAAACCAAGGGAAGAAAAATTGGAGGACAAAAAGATGATGAACAGTCTGAAATGCCACTAGAAACCAAGAGAAGATTCCCTCAGGGTGCACGCTGAGACCTTGGTGACACAGTCCCAGACTGCTTGTAGTAGAGTCAAGAAAACAGATGGGAACGTAGGTTAAAGAAGCAGCATGTTTAGAATCCACATTTGAGGGAACCGAAAGCAAGGTCGTTTAGGGAGAATTACACGTGAAACCAGGCACAGTGGCTCGTGCCTATAATCCCAGCACTCGGGAAACAAGCAAGAGGATTGAGAGTTTGAATATAGCTGTTTAGGTAAAATGTAAGTTCTCATTTAAATGAAGTAACTTTTCTTAGTGCTGTGATAATTGAAGATCGGAACTCTTTCTGGTTATACCCAGTTACAAAGGAATTTATAAGGGTGAATACCCTCACTGAGAGGGACCCCTCCTTTTATTTCCTCTAGACGTTACATAAATAAAGGCAATAATTTCAGAAAAACAGTTTCCATATGTTTTTAAATATTGGTTTTGAGCATCACGATTTGAATCTGTTTTTCAATCAGTCATCCTGGAGGCAGGTTTCACCACCCTGGTAGTTAGCTGTCATTAGTCACCTTATGCTAGATTTTAATGACGTATGTTGTACTGTCTGCTAGGGTAGTGTTCCTAAATTAACTGTAATCAGTGGTGATGACTGCCATTGCTAATATAAATAAAAATAGAAATGTATAAAGAAAAGTACAGGAGAATTGCAATGGAGTTGGTAGCTATTATATTTACTTTTCTGTTGCTGTGATAAAACACCATGACCAAGTCAACTCACAGAAGGAAGAGTTTATTGGGCTAGAGGGATAAGGGTCCATTGTGGTGGGGCAATCATGGCAGGAGTCAGCAAGAGGCAGTTGGAACAGGAAAGTGAGCTCTGACATATTCAAGCAGGCTCAGGAAGAAGAAAGAGAGACTGAAAATGGGATGAGGCCATATACTCTCAAAGCCCCCAGTGACGTGCTTCCTCCAGCATGACCACACCTCCTAAATGTTTAATTCCATGACCCTCCCCAAACAGTGCCAACAACTAGGGACCAAGTGTTCAAATACTTGGAGCCTACAGGGACACCTCATTCAAACCATCACAGCAGGACATTGGAGAATAAAGCTGCAAGATGTGCCAGTTACCAGGCAGATGCAAAAGCTGAACTGTTTCTGGAAGGGAGCAGTGTATGTGGCCTTAACATGGACAGTTGCTTAGTTTGGCAGGGCCAGAGGGAAGGATGGAGGGAATGTCAGTCACGGGTTGCTTTTCCAGTGTCAGTACAAATATCAGCCATTCTACCTTTAAGTGGTGTCACATTGCCTTTAAGACATTGAAAAATTAACAGCAAACAAACAAACCCAAGACTAGTTTTTCTAGCCTTCAACTGGGATGTGCCACTCAAGATGTTTTTTTTAAAAAAATGGTTAAGAATAACCTTACAATGCAGATTTGTGACTGATGAGCGTCTGCCATATCAATGTTAACTATTTAATTGGATATTCTTACTTGACAAAATGTAATGGGTTTCATCTTGGATTAGTCTGAAGACAGCCTTGAGAAAGGCAGTCACCAATTCCTCTTTCCCATGGCCAGTGATTTCCTGTGTCATTCTATTTCATGTCACTGATTTCCTTTGTACCATGTCTGTGACTCATAGTTAGAAATATGTGCACCTTAGATAATCAGGTTCCATACTGATTTCTTACTTTTCCAGCCTGGCCCTACTAAAACTGTAATATTTAACTAGATACAATTACAGAGGTCACACATAAAGTTTAACTGCCTAATTTATGTGTTAGAATATGCAGGTATTTCTATTGGCTAAGTCATGCCACTTATTTAATTGCTTATAGCTATAACTTAGAAACTTGCCATTTCAACAATATTCCAAACCATTTAAAAAGCCTGGCCTTAGAGCAAATTAAAGTGTTTTTGGCATCCAGTGCTTATCTCCTCTTAATCCAATTGTTGAACCATATATTTTAAATGCCTGTTATTCTGCATTAAAGTCTTACACCATTTAGAGATTTTTACGCTTTTTATTTATTTGTGTGCAAACCCTAAAATGAGTTGGTGTTGAAGAAAAGTTATGTAGGAGAGGCTGTCAGAACTTGGAAAGGTACTTTGAGACTGCATTTGAAAGGCACTTTGCTAAGTCTCCTGACTCTTATTTACTTTCAGTTTGCTTAAGTTTCAAAGGTTAACGCAAACCTTGGTAGTGCATCTGCATTTCAGAACACTGAGTGTTAATGTGAGGGTCATAAGCTCCTGTAGCGAAGCTCAGGGTTTGCCTTGAAAGCTCATCAGTGCTGTGATTTGACAGCGAGCAATAATGTTTGTCTAAGAGGACTGGTGGCCAGAAATAAGCCACAGTGTCTAATGAGACACAGAGCCCGGCTGGCGAGGAGCCACGGCATTTCTTGTGTGTGCTTTTCTCATAAGCAACATGGCCTCAGGCTGAAAAGGATGGTCACAGCGTCTGTTACGAATTAGAGGTCAGAGTGGAATCTTCGGACTTCATGGAGGCAGCCTGGGTAAGCCCCGGAGTTGGAAATGAGTGAGTTTGTTAAACTGTGATTGCCTATAGATCAAATGGGGAATGTGTGTGGCTGTGTAAGAGCTGAGAAAGACGAACAGTACATAGATCCTGCCAAAACTCCTCTGAGCCCTGAAAAATATCCTCCCGGAAGAAAGTATTTCAGAAGAAAACCGATTCAGAAAATAGTAGGTGATGCAGAGCTGGCAGAGCAGTGCAGTGAAAATGAAGTCAAGAAGAGTGGCTTTCAGCTCGCAAGAGGACAGCCTGTTTTATCCAGAGGGCTGGTGCAGGAAGACCCTGCTGCTCCAGGACCCGTGCTGGAAGAAGATGTGCAGCGAGAGAAGACAGAAGCTGTAGTGGACCGTGTCAAACTGAAACTTCGGCCTAATGCCGGGAACAGCTGCTTTTACCAACTGCCCGGTCCCTCTGCTAGGAGCAGTGACTCAGAAGTACAAGGTAGTGCCCTGGATGAAAAGACCTCAGAAAAAGACAACACTCCATATTGCACAAAGAAGAACCATTTAGATGTTATCAACACAAAAGAAATAACATTCCAGAGAAAAACTGATGCTTTTTCTTTCCGAAAGGCAGCCAGCTTAAGTTCCGTCCACCATGTTACAGAGAAATCACTTGAAAACAGTGTGCTTGCTAAGAACCTGTCAAAAAGTTATAGCAGTGTTCAAGAAAGGGACCCCTCTGAGGGAGTTTGCCCTTGTACACCAAACCATCTTCAATTTGCAAAAAGGAGACACCATTCTGTCTATGCTAATGTGTCCTCTGATTCCAAGGACACTCATGGTAATGAGGTAAGTGAAATGTAGTTTAGAGTAATAAATTCCCCACTGCTCACATCAGATGAGGTATTAAAATTTATCTTTTTATTATCCTTTATCTTTTTTACGTGAAAGCTATAGAGTTCTTGGTATGTTGGGGCCACAGTCTTAGATTTGATTACTTACAGCTTTATTTTGTGTGTCATCCCCATCCCTTATTCACA